TGCCCTGTAGTTACTGGATTACTCAGATGATAAGTAGTTTGAGAAGAGTACTATTGGAAGATAAGTATTAAGAAGACAGATTAAGAAGACAGAAGTTTCAATGGATGGATAGCATTGCGCATAATGCTGTTAATTTTCAAACAGACAAAATGGACCACCTGTGAGGATACCAAGCATCCTCTGCATGTCACAGTGTTTTATATAGTGGCTCATATACTTGGGGGCCTTGGTGAAAAAGATGACAATTATGCATGATCCAAATATAAACTTTCTTTTCCTTAGGTAGACCTAGTTATTGTTATTGATGAATATAAGCCCTGGGCCCATTAAAAAGTACCAATGGGACCAGATAGTTATTTGGTAGTAAGGAGATTATACTGGACCCCTCCTATCACTGAAGGGTCGTCTAATTATTTTTAGAAGAATATATACTTTGGATTTTATTTTTTTCCTACCTATCATAGTTCTGCCAACATCCTCAAAAGGTAGAACTACTTAATGCCTTATATATTATTATGATATCCTGTAAAATAATATTGTTTTCTTATTTATCAAGAAAAAGTAAGGCAATGGAGAGACACCATAAGATGCACTGATGTTGTTTGCCTTTATCAACTGAATAAGTTTAGTATGGCAGTTGGGAGACAGTACCTTGTAAAGTTGTGGTACCATTCTGAAGGATGAGGTATATGCTCTGCACTAGTAAACAATAATTCTTTTTATTTCCAAAGTACCAAGTTGGTCAAGGTATTTGGATGCAGTCTGAGAAAGGGTATAAGCTACTTAAAAATGTTTGCTTCCCTTGCTTATAACTCCAGTCTTACTAGTTTGGAAGAATAATATACAAGAGATTGACAATTTGAATAGAAATAACAATTTTCAGAAATAGCTACATGAGCATTTAAGGCTGCCATGCTGCCGAATGAACAAACAAAATGTAGTCTCAAAACAGTCTGGGAAATTGATTCTAATGAAATGTTGTTATACAATAAGTGGAGAGAAAATTTTAGATGGATCTCACACTGCTGTGAGAGATTACCTGAAAAATTAGTTAATTAAATAATTAAAAATTCAGATTGTTCAAACCTATATATTAAGCATAGGTAAAAACTTAACACCTCAACTTTTAGGAATGTGCATTTAATTAGTTAGCATAGTGACTAGCTGAAGAAAATGTGTACAAGTGATAGATGATAGAGAAAGTAAATAATAAATGTTTTTGAACCTGGTTAATTGTAGCAACAAATGCACTGGCTCTACCCTTGCATATTTGGTATCTGATGAAGGCACTAATACATTTTAATTAATTTAGTTGGGCTGAAGATGTAGTTGAGTGCAAGAATACTTGCCTGGAATGTATAAGGCCCTGAGTTTGATCCCCGGCACCATAAAACAAACAAAAATCATCTTAACTAATTTTGTTTTTTTTTCCCTTTCCTTATCCTCTGTGCATAATTTTGTAAGTTAGCCTATTAGCTAGAAAATACTAAAATGAGGTTGCAAAAGAACTTGAGGATGACAGAATATCTAGATGATAGAGAAAATAAATAATAAATGTTTTGAACCTGGTTAGTTGTAGAAAAAAATGAACATATATATGCAAGAAATACAGGCCTAAGTGATAAATGATATCAATGATAAAATTTTTGGATGTCTCCTTAAAGATAGATGAGTAGATTTAGGCTATGAAGGAGAATTAAATTGTTAGTAGGAAACCTTTTCTTATATTTTTACATTGTAGATACGGGGAAAATAGTGTATGGATAAATTTTGGCAGTGATAGGACTATAGGGACCCTTACTCTTTATAGACAGCCAGTATGTGAAATTGCCTTGTACAATAGAAGCCAAAGAGAGGAAAATATTGTCTTTTCCTGATGTATACTACAAACTAAAACTCAGGCATTCAGATTTTCTGTTCTCATTTAAAGCATAAGTGTTTGATGTAAAGACCGAATACTAGTTTGAGGTTAATGGTAGAAATAGCAGCTATCAATTAAGTTGAAAATCCAAGTGACATGAAAGGATGTGTGTGTGTGTGTGTGTGTGTGTGTGTGTATCTATCTATATATATATATATCCAGAAACTCTTAAAATTGTGGCAAGAAGGCCTCCTACTGGTAAACATAAAAGGGTATTACTTTGGAGTTTCTTGACGCAGTATGATTTTATACCAGTGATATAACTGAAAATATCCTTCTGCTTCCTAATGCTTTATTTTGAGATACTACCCAATTGAGAAGAGAGATGAATAATTCTTTTGCCTTTGTTAAGATATAAAATACAACACACATATTATCCTGAGACATATTCTCTGTCCATGCTCTTTGGACTTGCATTTTTCTCTTTTCCAATTCCCTTAATAATTCCTCACTTAAGGTTTTTGAATTGCAAAATGACTTGGATTCTTCCTTTGCCAAGAGACAATGCTCTACAGGTGCCAGGATAACTAGTTCTGTGCTTAGAGGGCCTACTTTGACTGCTAATGTTATCAGTACTAGAGTCCTGTCCAGTTACCCAAGTCCTGCCACAGAACCTCAATCTAACACTGGATAAGGGGCCAGCAATGGGAAAATCCACTAAGATTCCAATCCTAGAATATTGCAGAAAGTAACCTATACAAAAATTAAAAGGCAAAAGTCTATTTTAAGGTAATTATTTAGTGGTCCAAAAACTGAAACACCTGTCTTATAGCAGATTTATGTATAATCACATTGAAGTTACATAGTAATCCATTGCACACTTTCTAAAATTTTTATTTTAAGATTGATTTTAAAGGCAGTAATAAAACAAAGCCTGAGCTGCCTTATTCTTGAGGTGAACTTGGTGAAAAAAAAGGTCTGATAATGGGATAATTCTGGCTTAATTTAGTGATAAAAATCAGCAAATAAATTCTATGGTTTCCACTTAGCCTTAGTGATAATTTTTTTGCACTGATTAAAAATATATAAAACAAATAATGATTTTTTCACAGTTCCTTAGGTCACATATTATTACAATAAAATAAAAAAATAGAAGTGTATTATAGCAGGGAAGAACACATGAGGTTCACATTTGAAGTTAATGTGAGTCACATATGTACTAAATGCATAGTGCCTACGTACTTTGAGCAAACATCCTCAAACATGTTCAGTAGGTATGTACTTTGTACCCTGACTTCAAAGAATAGTTTCCATTTGGAACAATTTTAGGGATAAAACATAAGAGAATTAAAATTAAACTAAGATACATGCTGCACATAAACTAAGTCATCAATATCCCATATACCTATTTCTTGCTTTGTCTCTTAATTTGTACTGTTTTAGACAAAAATGGGGTGATTATTTGGGTATACCAGGTAACATAAGACAAAAAATCTTTTAAAAACTTATTTTGACCTTAAATTATTATTTTAAAAAATATTTAGTATAAGCATAAACATTAAGAAAACAATAATAAAAAATTAAAGATACAGTGGTAGTTTTCACTCTACTTCAAGTAGTCATTTGATACACTTTATATTAAGCTAATGTGTGGGGCTCGGTGCTAGTGAATAAGGTCATCTATGGAACAAAACAAGAACATTCCGAAATAGCAGTTCACTATTACATATTACTGTAATATACGCAGTGCTATCCAACAGACTTAGTAATCCTAAATGAATCATGAGAAGTGGAGAGGAAGAAATATGCAAACTATAAGACTGGATGTTTGGAATCTTGTTATTGATGATGAACGGCACTGTTTCTCAGTGCATGAGATCACAAAAGGTGTATGTGGAAGAAGGAAGAGCGAGAGATGACAATGCAACAATCATGTTACTGATTTCATCATAATTCAATGTAGCAAAATATTTTTTTAAATTGGAAAAATGTAAGGAAGGAAAATTACTATATATTAAATCTATGGAACAGAGGAGGTATATCTAAGAATCAGAGGGAAACATAAGATGAAAAATCTTCTATTTGAAAAATATACCATGATGACAAAAAGGTAAGCAATGAACTATCAAACTGAGTGTATAATTAATATGTATATGCACATTAGTATTTATATATGTATGAAAAGTAATATTTAAAATATATATATATATATATATATATATATAATTTTTAAATTTGGCATGGCTCTCAAATAAATCTGTAAGTATACTGAAAGAGATAAAAGACCAAAGGAATGAAGAGACAGCAAAGAAAAATAAACTAAATAAATATATGAAAAATAAACTAAGTAAATATATGAAAGAAATGTTCAATAATTAAAATTAAGGCATACATTAAGACAATAAGAAAACATTTTATCATAATACATCAATATACAACAACAAATGAGAAAATCTGTTACTTTTCTATACTGCTGGTGATTCATACATTAATGGTGAAAACATTAATTAATATAGTCCTTTGGGAAAGTAATTAGCAGTGTGTACAAAAAGCTGTGGAAAAGTTCTCATTACTTGACCCACTAATTTTATTTTTACAACTCTATATTGAGGAAATAATTCTAAATAAACCATAGCTTATAATAAAAACGCATAATGACAAACAAAGAACATTATGAACTATCTACATAAAGGAATAAAACCATGTAGTTTTTATAGTAGTTTAAAATTTTTATATACCTTTTAGTATTTTCTAAATTTTAAACAATGATTATATTGTATATTTTTAAAAAAATTTAATTTTATAAAAGTGATCATAAGTTCTATAAGGGCAGGGAATGTTCAAAATTTATAAACACATAGTTGAATATAAAATATATACATCATGATGACATCAAAGGAAAAAGTCAAACATAAATACCTAAAGTAAATATTTAATGGAAAAATACTAACTAGAATATTAATCTTGTTTTAAGGTGGCAGTGTAATACATTTCTTCTTTCCTCTATTATTTTTTTTCTAAATTTCTGTTATTTTAAACTTTTATTATAGAATAAAACTAAACATAAATCTATATTTCCATTATAATACAATACAAACAAATCTGATATGTATAAGAAGAAGAAAAAAATGTTGCTTACTTCTCTTTCATCCATGTTCAACCACTGCTTTGGATCTTCTTCAGTAGCCAGAAAGGCTATCAATTCCAAAGCAGTAAGTCTAGTCTGACGTCTTGATGAGACAAATATCAAAACAGGTTTGGCTGGAGAATGACTTCTAATTGCTGTTATAAAGTTGTGGAAAATGAAATGTTAAGTTGCTTAATACTAGAAGATAAATTTCAGATAGATATCAAATAGGTGTACAAAACTGATGTTGCATATGATTTAGCTGAATTTTTAATTTGGTCATAATATTTAGCATTATTCCAGGTACTAAATGGATCTGACAGCACTCTACATAGATGACAGGAAAGGAGAGATTCCTGGCTCTATCTAAAGAGCATAATGCCTAGGAGAGGGAAAATGCAATTGTGTCAGCTCCAATTTCTATTCTGAATTGACCTGGAAGGAAAACCTTAAATGCTCACATGATTGAGTTTTCTATTTCTAAGTAGTGTTTCTGAAATATTTCTGCCTGTGTAAATTGTGATATTATAGTTAATTGGTCCTGGGATCTGATAAGATTCTGTAAGGATTCTGGATGTGAAAATGTATAAGACAACAAATTTCCTCTGGTGAGCAAACTCCCAGGGAATAATAGACATTTTGTTTTCCACGGTTGGAATATTCTGCAGTTTCTCCCAGGAACTAGTAAGATAACTACTACATATACAATGCCTTGCTGCTATGGTAATGCCCTCCATGAGGAGGCTCTGTGTTAGAGTCTTATCAGCCTAGACCTTGATCTCAAGATACCCAGCTTCTAGGAATAAAGAAACTTTCTTGTTAGACAACCACTGAGCCTAAACCTGTCCATATGACAGTAACTTTATACAATAAGCTTTCTTGAGAGTTACACAAAGTTCCTAACATTGCACATTGCAACTTAGTATGTAACTGAGGAATAAGCTGCACAATGTTGCTAACTCTCTAACCTCCCTAGTGATACAATGAACAATATGTACTAATGATGATAATGACCTAATGTAACCTATTTATATAAATAAAGCTAGAAGCTCAGGCCAGCAGCTTTGGCTTTGACTCTGCACCTTGCTTCTGTTTCCTTTTGCTTTCCTTGAAAAATTCAAGTCCTTCAGGGTGATGAAAGATGTTCAAAGACTACAGATAATTCCTTTTTATTTTTTCCCTGTTATGAGATGGAAAAATTAGAAGAGAATGTCCCAAGAAACAGACAAGAGATAAATCAAAAGAATCTTTTCCCTCAGATTTTCTAAAACCAGGACTTTTCAAGTGGGAAAATAAAATACAGAAGTTGGCTAAGAGGTTGCTCTGCCTGAATGTACATCTGAGAAATAGCACGGGAATGCTCAGCACACACAAGGTGAAATGAATATTGGGAAACCTGAATAACAACACTGGAGGAATACTGTAAATCAAATCTATAAAAAAAAAAGTTACTTAAAGAACCACATAAATCATTTTGCTCTAACTGTAACTGAGGTTTCTTTACTCCAAAATGCTGATAAGATAGCCCAAGCAGAATTTATAAATGTCTATATAGCTTTCTTAACACAGAGATATTCACAAATTTTATGTGAAAAAGTTCAACTTTACTGTAATTTTTTGTTTGAAATGTAAAGAATTCCTTTTTATGGCCTGAGATGTAAGGTTTATAATGGAAATGCTGACATGACCTTGACTATATTTATACTCTAATGGTGAGAAATAAAGCTATCATAAAATCATATTTCTAAATTCAAAGAAATACAGTAATCACTACCAGTGTAATAAATAGTTTATAAGGACAGCAGTTGTGCTGATACTGTATCTTAAGAAGTGCAGGAATTTCAGCTATTTACTATTGATTTACAAAATACAAAATGCTTTATTTCCATTAATGGTGTGCAATCAGCCATTTCTTAAATAGATACACACATTTTCAACTATACACATTATGAAAACTATACTCATTTGCCTTATTTCCCACTTTTTAAAACCATTTATCAGAATAGTATATAAAGGATAAACTGACTGTAAATCATTACAAAAGCAATGTTTAAACTCACATATTATTACAATATTGGTATCATTTGTACACATAATCATGAATGAATTTGTCTCTTTTTTAAACCACAACATTTAATGTATTTTTGCTGCTACAAGAACAGGTGTAGCTGAACAGTTCCCAGCAGATTTATTGTTCATTAGTGATTTTGTACAATGCTTCTGTGGAGGTGTAAATAATCTGAATGGCTGAGATTGGTCTCTAGCTTACAATCAATACTTTGCTTCTGTCATAAGGCTAATTACAGAAGCTAAAAAGTCACCTCACAATCAACAGCAGTTCACATTAGAGAATTTATTTTATAGGTTATTTTTAATTGATACAATAAATATTCCTAATGTAGTCTAAATTAAACATGTTTCAATAAAATAGGAGTGTCATTCTTAAATCTTTCTTGTTTGAAGAATTTTTTAGAAATGGAAAAATGAAGAAACAAAACAAAAACTAAATTACTGTAAAAAAGTACTGAAAGTTTTATGGTTTCTAGTAAAAATAAAGATTATGTGAATTTTTACTTCTTTCTATTGATCATTGTTTAAACTAGTAATTGTCCTAAAGAAAATGTTTATAGAATTATTTGATTGCTTTCAAAATTACATATTTTTATCCTACTACAAAGACACTTTTGTGAGATATGTCTAATTTCAATGTAGTTTAACATATATATTCCTTAACAGTTGAAGTAATCAGCTTTAGATATTTGCGTAAGTTGGACCACTATTACCCTTTAAAATAAACCCAAACCATTTAGAATACAATTGATACCTATAATACAGAATGGTTACTATTTCAATCTGAAATAGTAGAAACTGAAGCTCACCCTGAAATGCAGGCTTGTTCATACTTGCCATGCGGGGACAGTAATGTTGACCTGGGAAGCCTTGAATGTGAACTTCCAGTGGAACAGGGCGTACTGATGGTCGGAAGTTGAACAAGCCCATCTATAGTTAAGACGAGAGAAACCATTTCAATTTATATATTATACAAACATATATATGTTCATAATGTTATGATGTCTCCTTAATGTGGCAACCTATGTCATGTTACTGCCTGACTTATCCATCTTTGACATACCTGCTTAATATTTAGCCAGTCAGCAAGGTCTCTGGCATTAGCTAATGCTGTAGACAGTCCAACTATCCTAACAGGCTTTTCTGTGTGTGAGGAGATAAAATTTGTTCGAGATACAATGACTTCTAGAACAGGACCTCTTTCTTCCCCTAGGAAATAAGAATAATAATGCATTAATCATTTGACAAATTCAAAGTGGCTGCTGCAGGCAGGCATGAAGTCAAATTTATAGGTTCCTCAAAAACCTAAAGATAACACTACAATATGATAGAGTAATCCCATTTCTGGGTATATATCCAAAGGAAATGAAATCAATATGCTTAAGAGATATATGTGCTTTCAAGTTCAATGTAGCATTGTTCATAACAGCTAAGAAATGGAATCCACCTAAGTGACCATTACCAAATGAACAGATAAAGAAAATGTGCTGTGTATATATAAGTGTGTGTTCATGTGTGTATTTGCATATATGTATATGTTTATACTTTTAAGCAATAAAAAAGAACGAAATTCTGTCATTTGTAACACTATGGATGAAGTTGGAGGGCATTATGTAAAAAGAATAAAGGCAGGAAAAAAACTGAATGATCTAACCTATATGTGGAACAAAAAAAAAAAAGTCAAAATTGATATAAAGAGTAGACCGGTAGTTGCCAGATGCTGGGGGTTGAAAAGGAATAGGGAGATATTGACCAAAGGATATGAAGTTTCATTTAGACAGGAGTGTGTGAGTATAAACAGTACACCAGGCCAACTATAGTCAATAATAATGTATGTTATAGTTGTGATATGTGGTTTCCCCAAAAGCTCATGTGTGAGACAATGCAAGAACACTCAGAGGTGAAATGATAATAAGTGTTGTAATCTATAGTGGGTTAACCCAGTGATATGGATTAACTGGGTGGTAATTCTAGGCAGGCAGAATATAGCTGGAGGATACAGGTCACTAGGTATTTGCCTTTGGGGTTTATATTTTGTCTCTGGTGAGCAGAGTTCTTTCTGCTTCATGATTGCCATAAACTGAGCTGCCATGATGTTCTGCTGTACCTCAGGCCCACAGCAATGAAATTGAACATTTATAGACTGAGACCTCTTAAAACATGAGAACCTAACGAACTTTACTTCTCTAAAATAGTTCTGGTCAGGTCTTTCAGTCAGAAAGAAATGAAAAAGCTAAATGTATATTTAAAAATTGCTAAAAGAGTAAATTTCTAATGTCTCACCATAAAAATTACAATTGATGTAACATGTTAATTTGCTTGATTTAATTATTCCACACTCTGTGTGCGCGTATGTGTGTGCGTATGTGTGCACATCTTAAAATATTACATTGTACACCAACATTATATACAATTATCTGTCAATTAAAAATAATATCAATAAAAAGACTCAAAGTTTGTATAATTACTTAGAAAGAGTGGTACCAACCAAGCAGATGAATTTCATCTATGATGAGAATAGTAACTTGCTGAACATAGTTCCTATTTTGCCAGCTTCTGCTGACTCCATCCCACTTTTCTGGTGTAGTGACAATAAGGTCAGCCTGGGCAATGGATTTCATATCAGGAGTCACATCCCCTGTTAGTTCAATAACTCTGGAGGGAAATAAAAATGACTCTCAAGTAACATATAATCTTGTAAAGGCAACAATATATCATTCTAATAAAATTTTATGATGCTTAAAACTACTTTTTTCCTCTTTGATTTCTGAAATTTTCGGAAATGAGTCAAAAATATAAATCCAATTCTATGACACATCTTTTATACAGATGTATATATTTATAGAATCTTTAAGTAAATTTATAAATCTGAACTTCTATCTCCTTCTCTACAGAGTGGAACTAAAATCTTTTTTTTGGGGGGGGAAAAACATTTTTGGAAATAAACATCATTATTATTTTTTAATGAGGGAAAGTATTAACTTGATAAAAGGGGACACTCAATAATAATAGATTGTGTATAACTTTCATTTCTTAGGTTTAAATTTTCTCAAGTTAACAAATGAATTAAAACATACCAGGATACTGAATATATAATATATTCACATTATTCAAAGAATATGTTGTGAATCATCTCTGGAACATCCCACCTAATTCTCATCCAAAAGCATTCATAATTTGTATTTTATTGTTTTTTTAAAAAAGGGATAGGATAGTTTACTTAAAAGTCTTATTTTTTCCAATTATTCCTGGAGTTCATTTATTCGGTGTATAAAAAAGCTCATTGATCTATATAGTTATACAATATTTTCATTGGGTAGAGGTATATAATTAGTGATGCTCTATTGGACATATAATTATTCACAATCATTTGCTATATACTGTAATGAATGGTTTTGTAATATTCAAAAATAGTAAGTAAAAACACAATATATTCATCATAGAAGTTTTATATGTCATAAATACTCTCCATACACAATGCCTTTTAAGTGGTTTCTAGAATTTACTTTGAACAACATGAAAAAAAAATAAAGAGAAATAACATGTTTCTTTTACAATGAAAACATATTGAAGGGATTGGGAGTATAGCTCAGTGAGAGAATGCTTGTCTATTACATGTGAGGCACTGGGTTCAGCATCACATAAAAATAAATAAATAAAATTAAGGTATTGTGTCCATCTACAACTAAAAAAATGAAAAATTATACATATGTACTATAATATATATAGAAAAAATTAGCTCCCACCAAAAAGTATTCATATTAAGAAATTAAAAGAAGTTCATTTTTCAATCTTAAAACATGGGAATATTGACACCATTTTAATAGTAGCTATGAACTCTTAAAAGATTAAAAAAACACTGTAAACGTATTCATAGGTATTATGCAACTCTTTCATTTATTGGTCTTTTCAGACTATTGAAAGTGTATCTCTTGAACAAAAAAAGGAACTTACTTTTTACCAAGTTTTTCTTCTATTCTAACCTTCCAGTCATCCATTCTTTCACGAACTAGGGCTTTTAGGGGTGCAATATAAACCGCCTAAAGAGGGGGCAATGAGCAATAGGACTTTAATGAGAACAGTAAGGTCATTTTTCAAATAAAATAAACAAAATTTGTCAAAACAGGACAGTGTGGTTTTAAAATTTCACAGAATACTTAAATTTTTAAATTATTGAGAAAAAGTCATTAAGTTAAACTACACGTATCCAAAATAAAGCAGAAAATTAATGCATCATAAACATTCTATCATAAAAATACTAACAGGTGAATTTAAAATAAAAAAAACACTAAAGGTATTTTCCTTAGGCATTTTATAATGAAATTATGTTCTAACAATGTTAATACATTTATAAAACTATGAGAACATATATTACACAAAAAAATTAGGATTTTGACAAAAATAAATATATGACTTCCTATTATGCTCAAGTTTTAACTAAGCTGTAACTCCTGAAATAATGTATATTGAAGGTTTTTAAATTATTACTTTTAGCACTTTTATTAGTACATTGTAGTCATACATAATATTGGGGTTCATTTTGACATAATCACATACGCATGGAATAATATTTGATGATCCATTTTAGCTCACAGTGCTGCTGCTTTCCATTCCCTCTTCCCTGTTTTCTACTCTACTGGTCCTCCTTCTTATTTATTTATTTTTAATTGGTGCTTTATAGTTATATATAAATGTAGAATTCACATAGCATACTTCGGTCTATTTTATTCTACAGTTCCTCTCTTTCCCTGTCCCACCTCCTTCCCCCTCTGTTCCCTTTCTCTACTCCACTGATCTCCCTTCTATTTTCAAATAATTCCCCTTCCCTCTTTTCCCCCTCATTTTGCTCTAGCTTCCACATGTGAAAAAAAAAAAAAAAAATTCAATCCTTTCTGACATATGGCTTATTTCTCTTAGCACAATGTTCTTCAGTTCCATCTATTTACTGGAAAATGCCATAATTATAGTTGAGTAAAATTCCATGTATATATGCAGTTTCCATGTATATATATACCAGTTTCTTTACCCAGTCATTTGTTGATGGGCCCTTGGGCTGGTTCCATAACTTGAGTATTATGACTTGCATTTCTATAAAGATTGATGTACCCGTATGCTGATTTAAACCTTTTGGATAAATACCAAGGAGTGGGATAGCTGGATCATATGGTGGTTCAATTTCTGGTCTATGGGGAAATCCCCATATCGCTTTCCAAAGTAGTTATACTAATTTGAAGTCCCATCAATAATGTATAAGAAATAAACTAGCTGTTTAAATTTTAATGCAGATCTTAACAAATTCCAGTCATATTTTTAGCTGTTTCAATTTTATAAAATAAATTATTCACTAAAACAGCACTTGTTTAAAAAATGTCTCAATCTAGAGTATTAACTCTTCTTTTTGATTTCTTTAAATATGACAGCAGAATGCATTACAGTTCTTATTACATATATAGAGCACAATTTTTCATATCTCTGGTTGTATACACAATATATTCACACCAATTCATGTCTTCATACATATACTTTGTATAATAATAATCATCACATTCCACCATCATTAATAAGACCTTATTAATGTGAGAGAACGCTCCCTTTCCCTCCAAACCCTCTGCCCTATCTAGAGTTTGTCTATTCCTCCCATGCTCCCACTCCCCACCCCACTACAAATCAGCCTCCTTATATCCGAGAAAACATTCTGCATTTGTTTTTTTGGGATTGGTTAACTTCACTTAGCATTATCTTCTTCAACGCCATCCATTTACCTACAAATGCAATGATTTTACTTTTTTAATTGCTGAGTAATATCCATTGTGTATATATGCCACATTTTAAAAATCCGTTCATCTATTGAAGGGCATCTAGGTTGGCTCCACAGTTTAGCTATTGTGAATTGTGCTGCTATAAACATCCATGTGGCTGTGTCCCTGTAGTATGCTGTTTTTAAGTCCTTTGGGTATGGTCTGAGGAGAGGAATAGCTGGGTCATTTGTGGTTCCATTCCTAATTTTCCAAGAAATCTCCATACTGCTTTCCATATTGGCTGCACCAATTTGCAGTCCCACCAGCAGTGTGTGAGTGTAACTTTTCCCCCACATCCTCACCAACACTTATTGTTGTTTGTATTCTTAATAGCTGCCTGGAGTGAGATGAAATCTGAGTGGTTTTGATTTGCATTTCTCTAATTACTAGTGATGGTGAACATTTTTTCAAGTATTTGTTGACTGATTGTACATCATCTTCTCAGAAGTGTCTGTTCAGGTCCTTGGCCCATTTATTGATTGGGTTATTTGTTCTTTTGGTGTTTAGCTTTTTGAGTTCTTTATATACCGTAGAGATTAAGATTAGTGCTCTATCTGATGTGTGAGAGGTAAAAATTTGGTCCCAAGATGGAGGCTCTCTATTCATCTCACTTATTGTTTCTTTTGCTGAGAAGAAACTTTTTAGTTTGAGTCCATCCCATTTATTGATTCTTGATTTTAATTCTTGCGCCACAGGAGGCTTATTAAGGAAATTGGGGCCTAATCCCACATGATGGAGATTAGGGCTTACTTTTTCTTCTATTAGACGCAGGGTAAACAATCCTTAGCAGGAAGATCGAAGCAGGTGGCATCACTATACCAGACCATAATTTATACTACAGAGCAATAGTAACAAAAACGGCCTGGTATTGGCACCAAAACAGATTGGTAGACCAATGGTACAGAATTGAGGACATAGAGACTAACCCACAAAACTACAATTATTTTATATTAGACAAAGGTGCCAAGAACATGCACTGGAGAAAAGATAACCTCTTCAACAAATGGTGCTGGGAAAACTGAAAATCCATATGCAACAAAATGAAATTAAACCTCTATCTCTCACCATGCACAAAACTTAACTCTTCTTTTTTACTAAAATATCTTTGTGAATCAATAATTATATAACAGATTAAAAATACTGGGTTCAATTCTCAGCACCACATATAAATAAATGAATAAAATAAGGTCCATACATCTACAAAAATATATTTTAAAAAATAGAGAAACAAAGTAAGAAAGAAAAAACACTAACTGAAAATCATGGAAAAAGGAAGTCTGAATATTTCTGAAATCACAAATGATGAAGAAACAGCACATAATTGCAACATTTCTAAGATACCTCTATTTCAAATGTAATATACTCATACAATTTAAAAACAAGAAAACCTTAAATGCTACATTAAAAAAAACCTGCTAGAATTAATAAGCACAGTCAAGAAAGGCAAAAGACATAAAAACCAATAAATAAAAATCAGTAGCATTTCTTAAAACTAACAATGAGTTATCTGAAAAGAAATAAAGAAAACAATTCCATTCACAACAACATCAAAAGATACTTAGAATTTAATCAAGAAGACAAAAATCTTTCCATGGAAAATATACAATATCAATCAAAGAACCTCTGTCTCTCACCCTGCACAAAACTCAACTCAAGGACTTAGGTATTAGACTAGAGACTTTGTACATGCTAGAAGAAAAATTAGGACCAACTCTCCACCGTGTTGGCTTAGGATACTTCCTCAATAAGATTCCTAAAGCACAAGAAATAAAATAAAGAATCAATAAAAAAAA